CAGCAGAGGCGTTCCACCGGGCAGAAGAGGAAGCGCTGCTCCCGGCTTAAGAGGAGAGGATGCCGGGCGGGGGTTATGGTGAGGCTACGAGCTAACGCTAAAGCCGGTAAACTCCCCATGCCGTCTCTCTTTCTGTCGAATGTCCGCTCGTTGGACAACAAGGTAGATTTACTTCGTCTGAGAGCGGGCGCCTCAAAAGAGATGAAGAAGTGTGCAGTGCTTTGCCTCACAGAAACGTGGATTACAAGTGAAACGCCGGACTCAGTCTTCCAGCTGGATGACAGACTTTTTTTTCGAGCGGACCGCTGCAGCGAGCTAACGGGGAAATCACGGGGGGGCGGAGTGTGCATTTACGTGAGTAAAAGTTGGTCCACGAACTGTACTGTTGTAAATAGCTCATGCTAGAAGGCTTTGGAGCAAATAACAGTGAAATGTCGGCCACATTATCTACCCCGAGAGTTCACAGTGACTTTTATCACAGTTGTTTACATTCCTCCGGACGCTAATGCTAATGAATCACTACAGGAGCTTCATGATATCATCAGCTCGCTGCAGAGCAAACACCCCGAGGCTCTTTACGTGGTAGCCGGAGACTTTAACCACGTGAATCTAAAGGACTGTCTCCCAAGCTTTAATCAGCATGTGACGATTCCAACACGTGGAGACCGCACGCTGGACCGTGTTTACACGAACGTAAAAAATGCATACAAAGCCGAACCCCGCCCCCACCTAGGACTGTCAGACCACATCTCAATCTTCCTGGCTCCTGCTTACATGCCCCCGCTGAGACGCTCCAGACCGGTACAAAAGAAAGTTAAATGTTGGATCCAGGACAGTGGCCCCATACTGAGAGATTGTTTTGACCGAACAGACTGGCAGGTTTTCAGAGAAGCTGCTGAAAATGGAGGTTCGCTTGATCTTGACCAATACACATCCTCAGTACTGGGTTACATTAGTACATGTACTGACACAGTCTCCACTATCAGAAATGTTAAAAGCTACCCAAACAGAAAACCTTGGCTGAATGCAGAGGTGCGTACCCTGCTGGAAGCCAGGAACACTGCCTTCAGGTCTGGAAACTCAGAGGAGCTGAGTAGGACAAGAAAAGAGCTGGTTGCTGGTATTAAGAGGGCCAAGGCCACATATGCAAAGAGGATCGAGGGTCAATTCATCTCACAAGACCCTCGGAGCATGTGGAGGGGCATTAAGTGCATAACAGATTATAAAGGAAGGAGTGAACAATGCCCCAAAGACCCATCTCTGCCTGATGCCCTCAACAAGTTCTATGCACGCTTTGAAGACCCGAACAGACCACCCAGCACCAGACTCACCTCGCCACCGGATGAAGAGCATCTCAGCGTGACCTCAGCAGAAGTAAGGAGTATCTTCAGGAGGATTAATCCGCACAAAGCAACTGGCCCAGACAACATCCCCGGAAAAGTGTTGAAGGAATGTGCTGATCAGCTCTGTGAGGTGCTGGCAGACATCTTTAACACCTCACTTACCCTGGAGACAGTTCCCACCTGCCTGAAGACTGCCACCATCATCCCAGTCCCAAAAAGCTCTACAGTGACTGGTCTGAATGACTATCGGCCAGTGGCCCTCACCCCGATAGTCGCTAAATGCTTTGAAAAACTGGTCATGACTCACATCAAAACAACCATCAACATCAACGAGGACCCTCATCAGTACGCATACCGTGAGAACCGATCAACAGAGGATGCAATCTCCTCTGTGGTCCACACTGCACTCAACCACCTGGAGCAGAAAAACTCTTACGTCCGTATGCTCTTTGTGGACTTCACATCCGCCTTCAACACCATGATCCCCCAAACCCTGATGGACAAACTATCCACACTAGGACTAAGCCCCTCCATCTGCAACTGGGTACTAGACTTTTTAACAAACAGACCACAGTTAGTGAGGATCCACAACCTCTCCTCCTCCACCATAACCTTCAGCACTGGCTCTCCTCAGGGATGTGTGTTGAGCCCCCTCCTGTTAACTCTGCTCACATATGATTGTGCAGCTACCCATCCAGGCTGTCACATTGTAAAGTTTGCAGATGATACAGCGGTGGTGGGATGCATCACAAACAATGATGAGTCCAGCTACAGGCAAGAGGTGGAACACCTGGAGAGCTGGTGCAGAGAGAATAACCTTCACATCAATGTGAAGAAGACAAAGGAGATGATTGTGGACTTCAGAAGGAACAAAAACACCTACACCCCCCTGAACATAAGAGGATCTGCGGTGGAAGTGGTCTCCAGCTACAAGTACTTGGGTGTACACATGAATGACAACCTCAGCTGGAGCAACAACACCACCAGCCTGATCAAGAAAGCTCATCAGAGACTCTACTTCCTCAGACGGCTGAGGCGAGCTGGTCTGGGAAGCTCAGTCCTCACCTCCTTCTACAGGTGTGCAGTGGAGAGCATCCTGTGCTCGAGCATCAATGTGTGGCATGGAGGCTGCACAGCTGCAGAAAGAAAAGCTTTGCAGAGAGTGGTGAAGGCTGCACAGAAATCTGTTGGAATCAGTCTTCCCACCATCACAGACATCTACACCTCCAGATGCAGGAAGAGGGCCACCTGCATCTTGAAGGACCCCACCCACCCAGCACACACACTTTTTGCCCCACTCCCCTCAGGAAGGAGGTTAAGGAGCATTAAGTGTAGAACCACTAGACTGAGGAACAGCTTCTACCCTGAGGCTGTTAGACTCATGAATCTTTAACCAGAATAATCACTGTGAAAAACCATATCATGTTGCTGCTGATCTGTTTCATGTTGCTGCTGATCTGTTTCAATGTTGATGTGTTCATGCGTGCACATCTGCTCACAGACTCATGTTCATGTTTGTGCTGATGTTCAATGTTTTTATGTTATGAGTGCTTAGTGTATATTTAGTTGATGTTTTTCTTAGTTCATATCTTAGATGTTATTACTGTTTTTCTTAGACATTTTATTGTTGGATGTAACTGGGACCCTGTGTACATAATTTCGCTCCACCACATGTACCACATGAGGTGCGAATGACAATAAAGAAACTCTGACTCTGACTCTGACTGACAAGAATCGATCAACAGAAGACGCCATCTGCTCTCCCCCACCTGGAGCAGAAGGACTCCTACGTCCGTATGCTCTTTGTGGACTTCATGTCTTCCTTAAACACCATGATCCCCCAAACCCTGATGGACTAACTATCCACACTAAGACTAAGCCCCTCCATTTGTAAGTGGGTACTAGACCTCTTAACAAACAGACCTTAGTCAGTGAGGCTCAACAACTTCTCCTCCACCATAACCCTCAGCACTGGCTCTCCTCAGGGCTGTGTATTGAACCCCCTCCTGTTTACTCTGCTCACATTGTGCAGCTACTCATCCAGGCTGTCATATTGTAAAGATTGCAGATGATACAGAGGTGGTGGGATGCATCACAAACAATGATGAGTCCAGCTACAGGCAAGAGGTGGAACACCTGGAGAGCTGGTGCAAAGAGAATAACCTTCACATCAACGTGAAGAAGATGAAGGAGATGGTCGTGGACTTCAGATGAAACAAACACACCTACACCCCCCTGAACATAATAGGATCAGCAGTGGAAGTGGTCTCCAGCTACAAGTACTTGGGTGTACACCTGAATGACAACCTCAGCTGGAGCAACAACACCACCAGCCTGATGAAGAAAGCTCATCAGAGACTCTCCTTCCTCAGGCGGCTGAGACGAGCTGGTCTGGGAAGCTTGGAAAGAAAGAAAAAATCACTGTAATGCCACTTGATTATGTGCTGCAGATTATCCATGCTGCTGATCTCATGCTGCTGATTTATTTCATGTTGCTGTATTCGTACTCATCTGCTCACACAGACTCAGGTTCGTGCTGCTGCTGTTCGGTGTGTTGTTTTTGCACTATTAAGTGTTTAGAGTATTGCTTAGTTTATATCTTAGATCCTTATTTACAGTGTCTTTTTACAATTTATGTTTTTGATTTTTTTGGGTGTAACTAGGACCCTGTGTACACCATTTCGTTCCACCTCGTCCAACTTAAACTTGAACCTAGCACTGCACCAGTGCCTGCAGTTGTTATTGGGGTGGTTGTCGGTTGGCAGGGCGCTTGGTTCTGTTGACAGGGTGGGGCGCCCTGCTTGTATAATGGTGTGTAGGTGGATGGATGGATGGATGGATGGATGGGTGGATGGATGTGGATGGATGGATGGATGGATGGATGGATGGATGGATGGATGGATGGGTGTGTAGGTGGATGGATGG